CAACTCTTTCAATCCGTTCATGTTGTTGTCGCAGGATTGTTTGAAGTCCACATTTTATTACAACGTATTTGCTTTCTTCTGGTTGATTATCATCGAGCTCGTCGTCATCCATGTCTTTTTCTGTTCATTCTCAAAAAACTGATCAAATTATTCGAAAATAAAAAATAGACACAAATTTAGAAAAAAAATGCAACAAAAAAAGCATAGATTACGAATAAAATGAGATCACAATTTAAATGAAAATCACTTATATCACAATTCAAATTAATCACTTCTTACCTCAACGATGTCACTCTGTATTCTGATTCAAATGATGAAATGTTTTCCAATATTCCGCAGATGAAAATTTTGTTGGAATATTCACCGTCAATTTTATGAATGCTTTCTTATTTTTAAATAACAACAGAGACAATCTCAAAACCAACAGTGAATTTATCCGTTTAACATCGAACAAACAAAATCATTGGAACAAATGTTAGCCAAAAATGACGACAAACAAATTGTTTCATACTCTAATATAAACACTCACACATAATTCTCAAGAATTCCTTTTACAAGCAAAGCACAATTTGTTACAAACAAAAAATGAGAACACACTCATATCACAATTCAAATCAATAACTTCTTATACTATATAACGCTGTGTCCTGATTAAAACGATGAAAATGTTTTTTTTTATTTTGAAATGAAAACAAAGACTGTCACAAAACGGACTGTGAATCTTTCCATTTGACATCGAGTGACTTCTACAGTTACGTTCCAAACACACCAAACCGTTGCTAAAATGACGATAAACAAAAAATGAATCTCATGTACAAGAATTCCATTTATTATTCACTGAATTTTGTTTTTTTTTTTCAACACAATGGCAACTTAACCATAATTACTTACCTTATTCTTAACAATAACTTCAAAATATTTTGATGCGAAAAAATCCCTATTTAGTTCAAAGAAATTAATTGATACGATGCAATGTTTACGAAGCACATTTTGAATGTAATCAGAAAAATCGGCTTCGATATGATACACACCAATACACACAGCTACCAACTGTCAAATGTCGTACACATTCAAACATGTTTCGAATTCGAAATTCGAATTTGAATTATGAAATAAAAAAAATAAAAAAAATAAAAAAATGTTTCTGAAACTAAAATCAAATCAAACAAATCTAAAAAAAGGTACATTTATAAATGTATTTCACAGTCACTTGAAATTCCTACGCAATGTTTTTTTTTATTCATGCACAATCGAAACACACACAGAGAGAAGAGAGTAAGATTTGTATTTTCATCCTCTTTTTTTCCGGTTTGTTTTTCAAATTTCATTTGCTTAAAATCAATCGTATGAATACGATATTATGAACTCAACGAGTTTATGTTATTTACATTTGTTTACATTGTATTGCCGCTACAGTTTCTTAGAATATAATAACAAAAAGAGAAACAATCGAAACACACAACACGAAAAAGCCGAAAAAGTGGTTCACATTATGCCTATATTCTACCTTCCATTTGACACGAAAATTGCCACAAAAATGGGTTAAAGCGTTACATTTTTTAACGTTAAAATGTCCTAAAAACGTTACATATTTGTTCGTTGGGTATACAAACAATTTTTATTTGGATCACACAGTTACCATGGTGATACATATGGGCGGGAATTCGTTTCTCGCTTACCTACATTCAAAAGGATAATATCATATTAAATAATAAATGCAAAGCATATGATTTGTTCCTGCCTGAAATATTTTTGTAGTTTGTTTTACTAAACGGATGACGAACAGAAGAAAAAACATTCTCTCGTTTTCACTTTATTCAACACCACAATTATTACGATTGTCAACAAATAAATATCAAACAGTTGTAGATTATACGAATCAATTTCCATTTCATCGTTTTATTTTTCAATTTTAATCTCTTCCTTGCCTACAATTTAATGTCGGAATTGTTTGATATAAATGTGAAATAATATATGTGTAAATCATCGAATAAATGGAAATATGATTCCTATATACTTTACTCTTGAAATTTTCACAGATCGTTTAGTACTTTTTTCCACTCTGCAATTAGAAAATTTCCTTTTGTTCGAATATTAAACCTGAGGCAAAACATATAAAATCATAATGTGTTAGATATTTTTTAATGCTGTTAAACATAATATTAACGAAAAAAAAATCAAGTTATGAACATAATTTTGTTCAATGGGACATTTCAAATTACATATGTTTTTAACACCAGTGCGAAACATTTGGACCAGAGGTTATTGTATACAAAAGAATACAAATAGCACAATTATATAATAACAGCAATAAAAGGAAGTAGAAAAAGCCGTTAACGTTTTTCACCTCTATATGAACAAACGATTTCTCAACGCATCTCAAGATAAAAAATAATTATCATTCGATCAATTTCTTCATGCAAATTTTCATTTACATTTCAGGTGACATCGCTCTAGCAATAAAAATACAATATTTTCGTAATTTTCCGTTTTATCACTTCAAATTATTATAAATTTTCGAATGATTTATCCATTTTTTTAAATAATAAAACAATATTTTGAAATGTTTATATTTTGGTAAGTTCACTGTTTGACAAGAAACAAAACAGCATCATTTATTAATTCCCATTTGTAATTTCGTTTTTGTTCCATATTCTTACTATTGCGTACATAATTCATCACAGTCAGGCAAATTGATGATCAAGCCTTTGTAGTTATGACTAATTAGTTAAAATCATTATAATAGGGTAGAGGTCCGTAGGTTGAAACGGGTTTTGATTTTTAGCTAAAAAAAATTACTCAAAGAAAATATTACGGAGAGTCATATATCGTTGAAAAGGTAATGTTCTTGGTTACATTTTTGCCCAAGAAATTAATTGAATTACTTCAAGAACAAAAAAGTTATGACCAATTTTCCGACCACATGATTTTTTCCAAAAAAAAAATTGGTCCGTAGGTTGAAACACACATTGCAATTGAGAAAATGGTGCAATTAATGAAATAAAAACACTAGCTATCAAGTGTTTATTGTTCATTTATTTATCAGAAAGGCCTCAATTCGAAATTTCATTAATTTTCGTCAGACAGATCGGCATCCGAGTCGCAATTTTGGCACGTGAAATAGCTTCGGCTCATGTTAACGCACTTTAAATGAAATGGCCGCTGGTACTTGTTGCATTCGATTGAGTTGTTTTTGGTTAATTTGGCTGGCAGGTTTTCCATGCAGATCATGCAGGAATCCACATCTTCATCCGACGACGATGACGATTCCTTCTCCTTTTTCGCATCTTCACGCTTTTACCGATTTTTCTTGAGTTTTGCGATATTTTCTATTGATGTGAGAACTGTGCTCTTCATACGCTTACGACTGCGATTAGATTTTTTCTCTGGCATAGCTGGCTGAACGGGTCCAATTTCGGACAAAAATTCCATGGACTTCTTTGTGTTGAACATAGTAGTATGAGCTTCTAGAATGTTCCATTTGATTTATTTAAATCAGATAATATATTGAATTAACTGGTCAGTTGAGCTGACATTACGTTAGCCAGCTAAATGGGCTAAAACAATAGACGTTATTGTTTTAATGATGAATCACTTTTCTTGTTTTAATAGAAGTGATTGTTCATTATAACAATAACTTCTATTGTTTAAGTCCATTTAGCTGGCTAACGTACTGTCAGCTCAACTGACCAGTTAGTTCAAGATATTGTCTGATTTAAATTAAGTATGCACTTCCCTTTAAAACACGTAGCGTTATATAGTGTTTCAACCTACGGATCTTCGAGTGTTTCAACCTACGTACATTGTCACCATTTTTACCTGACACGAAAATTCTTGTGGATGCAAAGATATGTTCGAAATTCCTTCCGCATATTAAAATGGACCAAAAACTGTGGTGCAAATGTCATATTCATATTTTTCTTGCACTAAAGAAAATTGACATTTTTAACTTGAGGCAAAGGTATAGTGTGTTACCATTGATGCCGTTGTATTTTACGCGTAAGTTAAACAGCAGCGGCAATAGCGTCAACGGCAGCACATATGAAGCGAAAGGGGAATATGTATCGTGCATCCCTTTCGTACGCGTTAGCCGTACGAGTTCAGCATTACTCAGCTCTCAGTTATATGCTGAGCAGCAGCAAATAATGATACTCTGAAAATAACATTATTTAAATAAAGTCAGTCAAGAAAGCATGACTAACGTTAAACCTCGTAGTATATTATACTGCTTATAGGATAGCAATATGGAATAGCACATCGAAAAGTGCCTGAACAAAAATGTCTTTAAAAAACCAGAAAGTTTAAAAAAGGTACCCAAAATTGTGTGCACCCACACTCTCGTCATTAAGAATCTTCAAAGCTTTCATATGAAATTTTAAAATTAATTTTCATCACCCGAATGAACTGCCGTCTGCTATGATATGTTGGCTAATTTTCCACTTGCACATTTAATTTTTTTATTTTCTAAAAATACTTCGAAGAAAATGCTTTAAAATAAGTTGTGTGATAATAAGATTGCGTTGTGTTTTTCCCAGTGAACATTTCCTAATTTTAAATGTCAATATGTCTCTGTGTCAGAACCTTGTTGGTGTTTCGACGTTTTACATTTTTGTAATAGTTATTCTATCGCGTCTTTTCTCTGTGTACTTAAATGTATTATTTTACCAAAACTTTTATTAAAATAATATACACAGAAACAAATATCAGAGTACGGATACTCGTACTTGCAGTGTTAGCAGAGAGTCCCTTCAAAATGAGTTACTCACTCTATTTTTTGTGTTAACTTCATCCAAGTGAACACATCGTAGTGAAAGAAGAGATACAGGGGGAGGCAAAAGTTTTAAGCCTGACATATAGATGGCACTAGTTACATATTGTTCTTGTGCTGTAATTCACGTACAAACTGTCACTAGTATTTTAGAAAAAAAATTGAGTTGATATCTGTCATCGTTTGTTTTCAACAGCATTGCATACGAAGTATCCTCGAGATTTTTTATAAAATGGATAAAATCGAATATCGTGCGGTGATTAAGTTTCTGACAAAAGAAGGTGTGGCACCAAAAGATATCGATGATCGCTTGCGTGCAGTTTATGGTGACCGTGCTCCATCGTATGCCACAGTAAAACTATGGGCAAAACAATTCAAGTGGGGCAGAGAGTCATTAGAAGACGATCCACGTTCTGGTCGACCAATTGAAGCAACTGCTCCAGATATGGTGGAAAAAATTGAACACCTTGTGCATGAAAATCCACGAATGAAAGAAAGTGTTAGCAGCAATGTTTGACGTGTCAGAGAGAAGTATATTTAGAATCCTTCATGAAAAATTGCTCATGAGAAAGGTTTGCTCGCGATGGATTTCAAGAACTTTGAACAAGTCTCAAAAAGAAAAACGAGTTGCTGCTGCACATGAGTTTCTCGAGTTGTTGGAATGGAATGAAGGGGATACTTTTGATCGTATAGTGACTGGCGATGAAACATGGATCTACTACTATGATCCAGAGCTCAAAACACAGACAATGGAATGGCACAAACGTGGTGAACCAGCATTGAAAATGCCACGCAAACAAATTGCCACAAACAAGGTAATGGCCTCTGTGTTCTGGGATTCCAAAGGCATAATATTGGTTGAATTCCTCCCAAAGAACACCACAGTCACGGGCTATTATTATGCACAACAGATGCATAGATTGCGCAAAGTCATCAGAGAAAAACGCCCTAGTCTTCTCACTCCAAAAGTTCTTCTTTTGCATGACAATGCACCAGCTCACAAATCATTGTTTGCACAAGCTGCCATCAGGGAATACGGCTTCGAACAACTTCACCATCCACCGTATTCTCCAGATCTGGCCCCCCAGCGACTATTTCCTGTTTCCAAACACCAAGAGATATCTCAAGGGAAAGCAGTACAAGACCGAAGAAGAGATTTCAACCGATATTTTCAACGTATGGGAGGACAAGAGTGCCGAATGGTTTGAGGGGGGAATTAAAGCATTGAAGCATCGTTATGAAAGTGTCATTCGTGTACTTGGAGACTACTTTGAATAATAAATATACTCATTTGAAAATACAACGTGTCTTGTTATATCAGGCTTAAAACTTTTGCCTCCCCCTGTACGTTGAACGTATGCGGCTATGACTACACATGTATTTCTTCTTTCACTATGATGTGTTCACTTGGATGAAATTAACACCAAAACTAGAGTAAAATAGAGTGCTGGGGGGTAACCGCGCTTTTGAATATTGCAGATAAAGAAGAGATTTTAACTTTTTTGCGCATTTGAATAGATATAAGTACAAAATGTCAATTTTTAACAAATATGTGAGATATTGTGAGATATTCTGATCTAATAATTGTTCTGGAAGTGGGCTTTGGTGAATCCTCAGGATCATCAGACCGCTCCCAGTTCTGGAAGTGGGTTTTGGTGGATCCTCAGGATGGACCAGACTATGGTTTGACAATGCCCTGGCCCATCCTTAGGGTCCACTTCCAGAACTGGGAGCGTTCTGATGATCCTGAGGATCCACCAAAGCCCACTTCCAGAAACTAGGATATGATTGAATACTTACAGATATTGTCAGATATGGTGGGATATTTTAATTTTTATGAGATTTTAGGAATAAAGTTAAATTTTGGTGGATAAAAAAGCGCGGTTACCCCCTAGATAGAGTGCGTAACTCATTTTGAAGGGTAGACTCTCTACTAACACCGCAAGTGTGAGTAACCGTACTCGGATATTTGTTTCTGTGTAACGTTTACACATTCAAAGATATACATAATATTTTTGAAAATAAAGTATTCGAATAGTTAAAAATTGAAAATTAGCTTTTAATTGCTGCATATTTTCAGAAAATTAAAAAAAGAACTCCAATTTTTCTGTGAATTCACCATTTTGGTTATTGAAGATGGAAGCAGAGCAAAAAGGGGGCAAAAAGCGAAAAAAACGAAGTATATACAATATTTAAAATTCAAAGTATCGTATTTTCCACAGCTAACATTCAATTCTTGAGTTGATAAAAGAAAGTTTGAAATTTGAGAACAAAAGACATTTTGGAATTTGAGATGATCACGTTATGAGATAATATTTTAATAGTTTTATTGCTCGAATCGAATGTTATTCCCTTATTATTCAGTTCGTGCTGATTTCATATTCGTTCGTATAAAATGTTTGGTGCTGATTTTTAGATAAGATAAACATCTTATGTTTATATTTTTTATTCAAATGGAAAACAGGACGATGAGGTTGCTATTAAGTTAATCAAGTGTATAAAATGGGAAAAATGGAAATTCAAATGAAAAATGATATGAGAAAATATTTAAATTAACCACATATTTATTGTCAATTTAATAGGCTGCCATCTGCACTTGCTTATCGGATACCAAGCGGTGCATGTTCGACTTCATTTATTTGTTTTAACACTTTGAGTCTCCGTTTGATTAAGCAAAGTAAGTATTACTTATTTGTGAATTTGGTGAAAATGAACTTATTACCCAGTAATTTACATTACCAAAACAAAGAATTTAAAATATTTATCACCCTATTCGTTGTAACATTTTAGCTTCGAGAATGCCGTATATTGCAAATATTAATATACTCAAACATAATTTAAAAAACCAACAGGGAATTCACTGAAATATTTTAATTTTACACTCCATCACCCACTAAATCTCTAATATCATCAATATCATCATCATCCTCATCATCACTAAGTCTAATGGTTTGCATGTTTTGCTTAGACGCTTATGATCTTCCACTGTGTAATGTGAGTACTCTTTTTCCCTCTTTGTCTCTTTCTAAATCTCTTTCTTCTATATTTGTGTACCGAAAATCTGTATTTCACCTCCATTCGCATAATGTGAGTAAGTAAGTGAAGCTATCAAAGCAGTAAACGAGGGTAAATGGTTATTAGAAGTGTACAAGTACGTAAATGTCGGCACGTTTTTGTATTGTTTCCAACTTCCAGCTGTTTAACTTGCTGCACAGGACATACGAAAACCACCTACATAACATTGGTATTATATTGTTTAATCTTCTCATTTGGATCATTGTTGTATTTGCTACTTTGCGGTTCACTTCAACATCAAAGTAATATTTTATGCTTTATGCGTATGTTATTTTCCAACACTCAGACTTCACTTTATTCTACCAACGAATTGAAATTGCAGTTGATAAAAGATTTGAGCATTTCAAAATTATAGGCAGAAAAACTTATGCATTAAAAAATCAAATTGTTAAATAGCGTTGATTTTTGATGTTTCTATCTCATTTGATAGCATTTTACATAAGTGTTCTATCAAATAAAACAAAAAAAACTATAAATAATACACCATCACCTATGATATATGATACGTCATAAAAAAAAGAATGGCACTAAATAAAACGCTGAACACTGACAAACAAAATATGCCAAGAAAAAAACTAACAAAAATTACGTTAAATACATAAAAGCAAAGTTGTTACATCGTCTTTAACTTCATACACCAAAAATGTTTACTCTCTCATCTATTTAATAGCCCAAAAAATCATTCATACATCTAAATAAACAACAACAAACAAAGAAACACGGCCAAAAAAGAGTAATGTTTTCATCATGAAATGTACGACTTGCTTTGCTTTATATTGTTCGTCCGTGCGTCGGTGATGGCATTGAACAGTAGTTGGCTACAATCTCAGCCTGTTTGCTTCTAACAATACAATCGCTTTTACTACTCGTATCGCAAGAACCAAAGGGCGATGTATATTAGAAAAGTAAGCGAATAAAATCAGAAAAGCAAATTCAATCTGTCAAAAAGATTATAGACCAATTACTCGCTTTAGGGGTTCACCAATCCCAGAGCATACTTTTAATAGAGTGGCATCTTTTATACATTATAATGCACACATCGGATTGACAATGTTTGTGGATATGGTGAGCGCACTATATGTGTGTATGTGTATTTGTGCGGGAACGAGTGCGCTACAATGCTCGTTCATTTTTACATTATTTGTAATATAATAGTTAATAGGGATAAACGAATTTCGCTTTATTTGTACACCAGCTCGAGTAGTCAATATGAATTTCGGGATTTCTGTCACTTACCTTTTGTTGTTGGTTTTGCTGCTCTTATAGCTTATTCTTACTGATTCTTCGCTCACTTTTTATCTGTCCTTGATGTTATTCCTCCTCAACAACAACAACAATAGAAGGAACAAAACATAAGTAACAACTGTTGCAGGATTGACACAACAATAAGTCGAGGCAAACTCGAAATTCTGAAAGGGACTGGGGATGAGAATGGAAATGGTAATGAAATATATGCGGTGGGTGAAAATTATCGACACATAAGGCTAAATACTAAATGCTTTTAAATTTCTATTTGGGTTGGTTAAGTAATATTTACAGCTACCAGTTAATGTTTTTTTCCTCCTCTTCAATAATTACGAAAAGTATACCAAACTGATACATATAAAACAAGATAATGAGAGAATCTTTCGAACATATAAAATGCCCTTTGACTCTTTGTATATACACTATGTACTTGTACATCATATTTTTTGCTTTCCTTTTTTATGGGATTTTTGATTTTTATTCTGATTATTTGTCCGATGCTTCATTTATATTTAAATGCGTTTTTCCGCCGATTATATAACCACTCAAATAAACCTTTGAACAGTTTTGATTTAAATAAAAAAGTTTTTTTGTTGCCTTTGATAATATATGATACCAGTTTTCAATTTTCTCTATCACAGACTTGGGCTTGTGACATTACGAAATTTTTTATTTTTCTCGCGTATACAACGAAGCTCGACCATGGTATAGGATTTCCTATATAAACCTTGTAACTAACAACACCTCTAATGTGTATTCCGAGTACTAATCGACGTTTGTAACAATATGGCCGTCACGGTTTGGCAAAATCATAATGAATCGATTAAACTGCCTTAAACTGTTAAAATAAATAGATTTTAATTTTTTACATTTTTGAAAATAAAAAATCTTTTGTTGTTTTAATTTTGTGAGATTTACTGCACAATATTCAAAAATATTAAATTAATAAAAATGAATTGGTTGACATAACCTCACTTTTGTGTCACAATCGTGATAAACCGATCAAATAATTATTACTCGGAATACGCATTAGAGGTGTTGTTAGCTGCGGGCACGATCAGGCTTCGGTATACAATTACTTTGAAAACTTATGCATTGCCCATAACCACTGTAGCTGTTATTTAACTATAAATTTGGTACCATTCCGATACGTAGAAATATGATTGTGCCACAAATTGTTGTTACCACTTTCAATATATGTTCAACTTGTGCATGCAACATAGTATGCAGCTAAAATGTTAGTTTTTATGTAACAGAGTTTCATGAAATTTGCACCGATTGAATGGCTGAAAACTCCTGATTTTAAGAAATAAAAATATATCAATACACTTTATGAGCCGTAGTTCCAGACTTTCGTTGAAGACAAAATAAACACTATATGATAGGGGCGTCGCAGAAATTTGATCAGGGAGGTGCGAGAGCAATAAAAATCGAGGACATTTAATTTTTTTGAGAAAAACTAATCGTCTTGAATCAGAAGTAAATCTGTTTAACA